GATAAAAGCCCAATTTCTTGTGTAAGCCGCATCAGAAATACGGTTCAGCGGCTGTACTTTAGTCGTCGATCAGTGGGCTGAAGATGGCATCCTTGCTCCCTTAAAGTTCAGCCCCAAATAAACCGGAGTTCGGGCTGGATCGTTTGGCATTGCAAGGGCCTCGCAGGATGGAAGGATAATTGGAGCAATTAACTAATAAGCTTAGATGTCGAATGTTCGACCGCATGGTTCCTGGATTGTCCCCTGAATCCCTGCGCCTCGTCAGCAACAACGTCTAACACCAGCTTTCCATGCTTCTCAGTCAATGGCCCCTGAACATGTTGCTGTCTTCATATTTCGAGGGAACCAAGAATGATTCTCTCTTCAGAGATTGGTAGTTACCCAACAGCTATTCAAGCATCATTCGAGATGTTCTTATGGTATCACGCGTGCAACGTAGCATTTCACGCTCCCATACCGCAACTGCACATGTTTAACCTACCAACCCACCCGAGCAATGACCACCTCCATTATGCCTTGCAGCCCTTGCTTGAACCCTGACGAAAGATTCGGGAGGCCCTGTCGGCTCTCGTATCGGTCGGCCACCTACTAAGTACTATGTAGGTGTCCTCGTCCGACTTCATCGAGTTTTCTGGGGGCGAGAACACGTTGATACAGCATTCATCTCCTTCATATTGCATGACTAGTCGCAGTATCATCATAGCGGTTTTAAATTTGAGATATGAACAAAGTGCCAGCTTCACTGACCCTGCGACATTTCTCTCGGATATGTACCCGTATTCCGTCCACATCCTGGCTCGAACAATGGGGCCATGAAATTGAGCCCTATTTCGTTTATGCATTGTGACCAGCCTGTCGGGGCAGAGGAGACCAACGGCTCTGTTCAAACAGCATACATAACCCAAATTCCATTCTCCACTTGCATGCGATTCCTAACGCTTTCCGAGGGTAACTCGCATAACGGTAACGGGGGAGGGACGCAGGCAAATGATGAGTGAGACACAGTAGGCAGCCAGTTAGCCAGGTTCACAGCGGCCGACCCGTGTTCACATCCACAATTCCAGAATGCTCGCCTCAGAATCACAGCGGAGATGTGTTGGCACGTGGGCATCAGGTTGCATGTGGTTTATGCGTTGTTTTAATGTTTGCCATGACATGAGTTGAGAATTGCCACAACCACTTTGCACGAGCAGCACGGTTCTAAATGTCAAGTTAAGCGACGCTTCTAATACAGCGCCATGATCCATTCATCGCTCGATCTCGACACAGTTGTCGGTCTTGTGTCGAGTTTACGAGAAAACTTGGTCACAGGGCGAACGCGAGATCTTTGCAAAGAGGCAATCTCTTACTCTATCACCATTCACAAGCCGTCAGCACTGACTAAATGCCCTGGATACGGGCTTGGCATCGAAGCCCCTGAGAACTACCCCAGACGAAACTCGGGCCCAATCTGCACAGATCGTAAAGGCTGGTATTTTGATTACACCCGCGTTGCCACCGGTTGACATTAGGCTAAGAGCATTCTAACCGTCTTGTCTTGTAGCGTCGCTATTGATAGAGCCGATTGTGGCTTTCGTGTGGGAAGGGTGGAACGACATGGCACCACTAATAATTAGACCCCCGATCCTCTGGGCAGGATGGAATGCTCTGCTCGCCTGAAAGGGCTTGGTTCAGGCCATGGCACTCGGTGGCGACGGCGAGTTGGTTCTTGATCAGGAATCCCACCAACTTCTAGACTGAACCAGGGCCTCTTGGAGTGTCCTTTGTAAGCGCGGAATCATGGCCGTATTGAGACAGGCTGTGGGCCAAGCTGCTTCTGACTGGCTCGATTGGAAGATTATTGAAGACCCCCTCCGAGGTACACGTACGCAGCCCTGCTTCTTTCTATCAAACCCATGATGGATGAATTGGGTATTTGCCGATGGAGCCGAGTCCCGATAAGGGTCTTTCGTGGTGGGTGCTTGAAGGAGTTTCTGTTGATACAAGAGCAGACGTTTGCCCTCCAAGTTGGGTCCCTGTTGGGCCAGCACTCATCGCTCCTTGTCACTCGCTTTTTCGAATTTCGTACACTCGTTTCCACCATGTCTTACCGACAGGTCTTTGCTATTTTCATTTCTTTCCTGGCCATTGCCCTGGCCTGGGAACCGCCCGTCTATAGCGGCTACAGCCGTGTCTGGGCATCTACTTTCGAGGGCAAGGCCGACGGCCTTCCACCCACCAGCGAGTGGAACCTGATTACTGGCGATAAGAACTTCAACAATGAGTACCAGAGATACACCAAGACCAAGAACAACCTCCGACTCAGCGGCCAGGGAACCCTCCAGCTGATCCCCCGGGGCGACAAGACAGCACCCCGAGGATGGACGTCGGGCCGTGTCGAGAGCAACTACAAGTTCACCCCTGCCGCGGGCAAGATCACCAGAGTCCAGTCGCGACTTCGTCTGGCCGGCAACGCCAAGGAGCACAAACAGGGTCTCTGGCCCGCCTTTTGGATCCTCGGAAACTCAAACCGCCACGGAACTGCGTGGCCTGCTAGCGGAGAGCTGGACATTATGGAGAACATCAACGGCCAGACGGTTGCCTACGGCGGCATGCACTGCGACAAGTCCCCCGGAGGCATCTGCAACGAGCCCTCTGGCATTGTCGCCAAGACGTCTCTCGCCGACAACAAGTACCACACCTGGAGGGTTGAGTTCAACCGCAAGAGCAGCAACTACAAGGAGCAGTACATCACTTGGTCCATGGACGGAAACCAGTTCAACAAGATCACTGGTGCTCAGATTGGCAATGCTGCGGTGTGGAAGACTGTCTGCCAGAGTGATCTGTTTGTCATTCTCAACGTCGCCGTTGGCGGATACTGGGTAAGTTCTGCTGCTTTCAAGGGGTAGTGCAACTGTTGTAGATGGAACTCGACGCTGACAATTTGTTTTTAGCCTGGCAACCCCAACTCTCAGACCTGGGGAGGAGCTGGTAGCATGATGGAGGTCGCCTACGTTGCTCACTACGTGTCCAACTAAATACGGATTTTTGGAGTATTCTCATGATGCTCGATTGGGTTTTGGAATGAAGTGAAAGCATATAGAACCTCGATAACTAGACATACCCATCCCATTAATTCAGCTTTAATATCTTGAATGATTGAGCCTAAGCGGGTGCTCTTGCCTGGTAATTAGACCTAAAGATAGAGAATCGTATTGGGGATTGCCCAAAGGTCCGCATACCCCAACCTCAAGCTGCTCTCTGTTGATGGTTGTCTTCAACAACCACGCTAGTTTGCCTTCACGCTCATTGCTCGCCCACTTCAAGGGGTTCGCCAAACATGTTCAAGGTTGGATCCTGGATCGGCGCTTTCCAAACTTAGCCTGACGCCACGCAGAAGTAAATTGAACGAACATCCTTGTCAGGTACCAATTCGCGTAGATACGCGTACGATGTGGTTCTACGTATGCGGAGTATGTACTGTGTGTCCTCGATAGTGTGGAACCCAAGCGGCCTTCCAGTGAGAGGTCTTGCCACCTTCATGATCTGCTTCCTGAGAGGTTCAAATGGATATCATACATGAGCGTGCTGGTGTACCTACTTGACGAGGTCAAGTCGAACAAGGGCTTCAACCATGTCTCCAACCATCTCATCCGTATCCCTGCTCTTCCACCCTAACATATCGGTGGCCTTTTGTCCCTTGATCCTCCTCACGACGCCGACTTGAGGCAATATGGCCTTCATCTTGGAGCTAAAGCAGCTCATCACGCGGACTGTCCAATTCGGCATCTCCTTGGTCGGCAATTTCCCCGCAAGATCAGGCCGCAGCTTGGCAATGTGCTGAGCAAGCTGGAGCATGGAGACTGGCTCGGGCGTGGACGAGGCGAGGAAACGCTGGCCGGCGGCAGAGGCCTGGGTCATGCACAACACGTGCAAAGAAGCGACATCCCGCACGTCGACCATGTTGAAGAACATGCGCGGACATGCAGGTACGCTGCCGTCAAGGAGGCTCTTGACCAAGTTAATTGAACTGCCAACGCCGTCTTTGCTGAGCACGGGGCCGAATATCCCGACAGGATTCACCACACTCAACTCAAGCGTGTTGCCGGGCTCCTTGACAAAGCCCCAGGCAGAGCGCTCAGCATACAATTTGCTCTTCAGATATGCCGAAAGGCCTTCCTCCCTCGACCAGTCTTGCTCATCGAAGGCATCTTTCTCGTCGGCCTTGTATCCGTATCCCACTGCGCCAAACGACGACGTGAAGATGACTCTTTTCACGCCTTGTTGCTGTGCTTCGCGCAACACTCGAAGCGTGCCTTCTCTTGCAGGGATAATGATTTCATCTTCGCTTTTTGGCTCATGCCCAGGAAATGGAGACGCGACGTGGTGGACGAAGTCACACCCGGCGATAGCCTCTTGCCACCCGTCGTCCGTTGTGAGATCCGCTTGATAGAAGGATAGGTTGTTGAGTTGTTCCTGATGCGCGCCGACAGATCGCAGCATATCTAAGAGAGAGGATTTCTTAGGACCAGCAAGAGACCGAAGTGTCGTGCGGACGGTGTAATTGGCCGAGAGGAGTTGAAGTATGAGGTGGGAGGCGACGAAGCCTGAGCCGCCTGTGACAAGCACGGTGGGCATGATTGCAATTATGAAGCTTGAGTTAAACGAAGAGAATATGAAGAAAGCTGATTGAGACGCATTGCGAGTTTCATTTGATATATAGAATTGTTGGGTGGCTTACTGGCTTACAGGTGGCAACTGGCTTATTCCAAGCTGGCTGACACAAGTTGGTGGGCATTTACAGATGCTTTTAAAAAGGACTTAACATTAAATCCGACAAAGTGAAAGGCGTCCGTCTCATGGATGAGTGATACGTTGGCCATCATGGTTCTCTGCTAAATCCATAGGTAACAATAATTAGTATATTATCAACTGTGTTGCGTGAATGAAGGTCCTCAGGAGTGAAAAAGGTGTGGGACTGGAGGATATAATCTTAAATCTGAACGTTCTCAGCATCAACAGCTCGGCTAGCTCAATTGGCTAGAGCGTGCGGCTTTTACGACATTGTCTGATCACCGCAAGGTTGCGAGTTCGACCCTCGCGTCGAGCTTTGTTTTTTGCATTTTTTTCTCAATTTGTGTAGCAATTTTTTTTCTTTTTCTTTGGTAATTCAGTTCGTCGAGTGAATGAATATTCATGATTGCCGTGGTCGAAGGAATGCACCGAGAAGATTGGTAGCAAGCTTGAAGAGTGGCCCAATGCTTCCAATCACACTAATCGCTTCTTGCTTGTGATAGTGGAGGCACGCAAGACTCCCTGGTGTTATTAGCATTCGATAACATTGCACTGACACTGCGCGACTGTTCTTTTGGTTACGTACAAATGAGATCTTGGCTTTGACAAGTATGAATGGTCTTTGGAAACTTCACGGCTGTTAGGTCGTGCGTGAATATGTACTTGTGCCCCTTGTGTGCTTGGGCTCGCGATTCAGTGTGCATCTACGAGCTGAGATGGCCTCGTAGTCACCTGTTGGATGCTGAAATGAGAACAACACACGCGCATTAACATGTTGGTACACCCCTGGCCACGAATCTCTCAACGGCCAACAGTTTCGGCTTCTTGGTTCCAGATTTATCGTCACGAACCCATTGTGCTCCTTTATTTCAGTGCTTTTCACGATCTCGACCTACCGCGCAAATCGAGCATATATCAGTTCAATTTATCCTTTGACCTTATTTAAGAGGAACACACTCTCTTTTCTCAATACTAGCAAGTCAATATATGTGCATCTCCTCTCCCATTCTACCCTTCCTGGATTTTGATTCTGCGTAGGTACTTACCTCGGCGCTTTCTCAACCACAACTATGGCCTTCTTTCAAAACCCTTTCTTCTCTGCTCTTGCTCTCGCCCTGGTATTCAACGTCGCTGCGGCTGCCGAAGACAATGTTCAACTTGAACCTTATCGATGGCAGGATAATATCAACAACAGGTGCCGTGGTGGTCAGGTTTCCACCGTTTCTGGGTCAGCTCAGCCATCATTCACCCCTAGCGTCCCCAAAAAAGACATCTACAAACCTGGAGACGTCAAATGCAGTTGTTGGGGTGGAATGTACGACGATTGCAACTCTGACTCTACCTCATGCGAGGGACTAGCCCAGCATTACGGCATCGATGTCGGGACTTTCTTCAAGCTGAATCCAATACTAGATCCAGACTGCAAAGACATCAAACCCTACACGTTGTACTGCATCGATGGAAGTATGTTTCCACCCTGCGTCATACGCTCATGAGATGTGACTAGGCTGGATGTGGGTAATAACGATTACAGCCATTGAACCATTAAGAGCCCACGACGGTCTTTGCGGACCTGAGCACAACGACGCTACCTGTCTTGGAACAGGCAAGGAATGCTGCAACTCAGAGACTTGGACCTGCGGCAACTCAGAGTAAGTTGCTAGGCGCCATGAGCGAGCTCAACCCAAACCCGCCTAATATCAAGTCACCTGTGCTAACTCAACACCAAGAGAAGATTGTTCTCCGGGTATTTGCTACGAGAGTGCATGCCCCGGTCATAAAGTCTACACGACTGATGGCAAATGCTATGAACCAGGGCGTTGGCTCCGCGCCTGCGCTGGCAAATGGGGCGAGTGCTGCCGTGTGGAGGGTGAATGCGGCAATGGCCCAAGCTATTGCGGCCAGGGGAATTGTGTGTATGGCAAGTGTACTGACCAAGAAATATTGACGCCAGTGGTAATGCCAATGGGAAGTGCAATGGGCCTACCTGACGAGTTATTATTCTCGATAAGCCCGGACGGGACATGCGGCGGTCAGGAGGGTTGGATATGCGGTTCGTTGTATGCAAAGTGCTGCAACAAGCATGGTTACGGCGGATCTCTTCCGGAAGACTGCGGGTAAGGCTGGTGAGTTTAGGAGTCGTATTCGAATACTTGACAACTCGAGAGAAGAGCGAAGCTAACCTGGCATCATGCATGGGTCATGGTAGTCAACCTGAATTTGGAGAATGCGACTTAATAGAATCGTCGTTCAGGTCAGCGCTACACAACGGCGGTACAGATGGCACTGAGTTTAGTGACCGTGGACTTCGGTCTCTTTGTAACCTCTGAGGGCTAGGTTTAATTTGAGTAGTCTTTCTACATAACCTTCATTTCACTTAGGAGCCCAAGTCCGAGACTTTAGTGAGATAGTCTCAATAAAGGCTCTCAACCTCAACACCACCGATTGCACATGGTGATAATTTCAAAGGCTTCTCTCTCCAGGAGCGGCCCTCATTATCTATAGCCCTCAATCCGTCCTAGGTTTCTATCGAACTGCGATTGTTGATAGTCATATTGAAATAGAGGCCGACTTAATTACTAGGGCATTATTTTAGGGTAAGAGAGACTACTTATCTGAATACAAATCGATGTTGCCTAATTAATTCTAAAAGAGTCGACGTATAGGAATGCGTCCTGGGATCTGCATCCGAAATCGACCGACGAAATAGCAGTGTGATGATCCTCCATCAATAACCGCCTACAGGCTATAGCCTGTCTCCAAGAGCTAGAAAACTTCCTCAAGCAGAATCCTTAGACAAAAACTGCAATGTCTAGAAAACACCACACGTTAGCCACTTTGCTCATAACGTTCCAGTAGGCGATATGAGGGATACTTACCTCGAGTGTCATGGGAAACCCGCTGATAGAGACAAAGTGTGATGCAACGAAGTTGACATCAATTCGAATGGGGGCCTTTGTATCATCCTCGCTGATCTGGACTTCCCACTTCATCGGTTTATTCCAAGGAATAATGGGCTTGCGATAACACTCGCCCTGCAGCTGAAACCCTGTGGTGTGAGAAAGAAGTTTTTGAATGCCTTTTTCGGTTGGGAGAAGACGGCAACAAATCCATCCATCAATGACAACTTGCTTGTGGAAGCCACAACTGATGTTACCGACCTGAAAAAAATACAGGCTTGCCCGGAGTCGATCAGCAAGGCTTTGCAGCATGTCTCCTTGCATGTTTCCATTGATCGGGGAGAATGGCGAGTCAGAGGGCTTATAAGGGAAGTGATACTCTGGCGCTGCTGTCTCCATTTCCGGGATTGCGCCAACATCATCGAGCGCCGGCTCTGTGTTTCTTTCCAACCTGACGTTCAGACGCGAAGCGCGGTCGAAGATGCCTCTGTCGGCACTATCGCGACAGAAGGTATCCTATTGCTTCTCGCCGTTCATTGTGTTGAGGAAGGTCGAAAACAGCTTGGTGAGCCAATCTGGATATAGCCTCAATTCCTCGAGTACGCTTGTACTGGGGATTTCGGAGTTGGAAATTTGGCCTGGCTAGAACCTACAGACAGAATTAGATCAAATGGTATGTGGCGGTCACCGCCCCAAATCTTTCTGCATGCATTCACAGCATCCTGAACGGGGTTGTTCGCTTTGAGATCGCCATCGTGACAAGCGCTGCCTTGAACGTAGCATGGCTTGAAGTACATTGGAGCAGCAGATGTGCATCGCGCGCTGAATCACCCATTAGCCTCAAGCATGCCGGCGAATGGCTAAAGAATAATCTGGTACTTACGCCGTCCACAACGGCAAGTCAGAAGCAATGTATTTGTCCTGGTCACTAGTGCCGCCATGACAATAATTTGCGAGCAGTCGAGGCTCTTCCTTCCCAGGGGTTATGACTGTGGTGGTGACAGCAATTTAACAGGGATTCTAAAGCCCGAAGAGAGTCTCAGTCGGTTTCATCACTGTCATTGTCGTAAATGCTCCTTGAACCGTCGATTTAACGACTGATGTCCTGTACGTGGATCGATAGAACCATCGAGCGAAGAATCCGAAGCCCAATGGAATTCTAGTTAATGGCTTTTCTCTTAAACCATTACTGCAGATGTCATTGGAGAGGGTAATGCAGTTCTCGACATTGGGTTCTTGTGCTCCGAGTCCCAATGCAATCAAGCCACCTGCTGCTGTTCATTTCATATTCAGGTTTTGTCTGCTCTGCCATCAAACAACGCATTTTAATTTTTAACATCGAACAATATGGTGTCGATTTGCTCAACTATACTCGCACACACAATTCATCGTCGATCAGCTATATCTGAAGCATGATAGCACATATGCATATGTGCAACAGACTAACTACCAGGTCGCCGAGAGGTGAGAATCGTTTCGAAGCGGCACATACGATGCTTTGATAGAGTCACAAAGGGTCAGTTGAAATAATAGATACTTTAGAAACGTAGAATAAAAAGTACACGATGCCCATCCAAGTTTCTATCCACCAGACCACCACCTCCTCGAAGGTAATCCAGATCGTTAATGTACAGGTCCTTCCAAGCTCCCGATGTCCACCCCTCGCTACAAAGAAAATTCTACTTTGTATGGGCCAGCTCAGTTGCCGCCGTCTGTGTTCTTGCGCCAGTCAATGGTCGTTTCGTATGTCTTCTCAATCTGGCGCCTGGCAATGGTCGCATTGGACGCAGGCTTAAACGTCTTAGAGTCCACATCAAAGCAGCCAGCCTGCACGCTCTCGCTACACAGATCGTACACCTTCTTCTCTCCCATGTCGCAGAAGAGCCCCTCCTTGGTGTTGGCGAGATCAGGGCCAACCGAGGTGTCAGACTCGCAGAGGAACTTGGCCGACAGGCCGTCGACATCTCCGAGGACGAGCTTGGAGGCCATGCCCTCGCTGCGGCGGACCTGGTGGACCTGGCGGCGCTTGGGGAAGCCAGACACGCCGGAGAGGTTGTTTCTCTTTCTACGGGTCCAGAAGTTGACAGAGCTGGGATCCTGTTCATCTCTCATGCCGAAGGAGATGCCGTCGCACTTCTGCTTGGGATCACGTTCTTCGGCTGGCGCATCAGGATTGACCTCGCCTGTGGAGAAAGCTGGCCATCGGACCTGGAAACCCGTATGGGGCTGGTCGCCGTTCTCGTCGATCCAGAAACACTTGGGCTGATCTTCTGCCGGCAGGCTGCCCACGTCCTCGTCAGAGTTGTAGTACATGCCGCTGTAGTACCAGCTCGCGCCACAGTAGTAGCCCATGTCTCCTTGGACGGCGTAGTGGTTGCCACCTCGGTCCTCACTCCAAGTGGTGGTAACCCAAGCA